AGCCAAAAGTCGCTTTTCCTTGATGATTCTACCATTATTTTTCAAGAAACCTCTATTATAAAACGGTAGCATCATCTTATAGAGTTGTGAGGGGGACCAATGAACTGCTAGATTCCGTTTTGTCAAAGAAAACGCACGCAGGCACCTTTCATGATCTTTATCTGAGGAGTTGGAGCCCGGAATTACCTGCGCTATTTTACAAATGGAAAACGGGAAAGAAGGTAAAGATTACAAAACTCATTCCAAGAAGTCTGTCAGAACTTTGGAAAGGCGGGCTGGTTTATTTATTATGCATATGGAGTGGAATCAACAAACAGATTGCCCGTGCGATTTTAGGTTAGCAAGTCCCGTACAAAATGAAACTTGCCTAGTAATCTGAATTTAATCATGCAAAGTTACCGGAAAACAGATTTTTCCGATGGAGTTAATAAAAAGGTGTTAGTTCAGATATGAGACGTCACATCAACATAATTCTGATAGCGTTGGGTGGCTAAATTTCCGGTTAATTGCCATTAATTAGCCTGATGACCTTGAGAAGAATTCCTCCTTAAGCGATAATTGGGTTGCTCGTGTAAGTAAGCTACTCTTTGTCTCTTTCTTACTCCCCCCACCTCACCTCCCCCCAAAAAAAAAGATAGGAGGACGATGGGATTTTAAAAAAAAAAAAAAACGGAAGGAAGAAGTGGATTTAAACCTCTAAATTTTTGGAATTTTAACCTTAGTTACTAGATCAAAACTCTTAACTAAGATCAAAACTCTTTTTTCCTTTAGAGAACGCTTCAATTTATTTTTTTTAAGCTTTAATCTTATTTCGATCCCCACTAGGAACTTGGCGATAAAAAGAATCATATAGATAGAAGTTCCAGTAGGCGCTCTTTTCCCAATGAAAGTCAAAAGAAAGGAAGAGATAGCCGCTCGCCCATTATGAAAAAGCAAATGCCTTACAGGATGGGCGCTGGCTAGGCTGCTAAATTTGATCGTTGTACACAAATTATTGAAACCCATGAAAGTTGGTTGCTTTAGGAGAACTGGTCGTAGGAATCAGAGGAAAAAGCTTTATGCTTTACCTAATTACCTCCCAATAGTTACTTTAAGATCCAAAAACAAAGTGATCACTTTCCTCTTTGTATCTGAATGATAAGCTTGGTCTTTTAAGGCCGGGCCATAAAAATTGCAGCCCTTTTTCTTTCTTCTTTAAGCGTTGAATACTTTTCATTTGTAACTTCCAACTGTTTGCTTAATTTGAAAGCCATTTTACTCTGTGTGTGTGCATAGAGTTAGTTACCTGATGTTCCTGATGGTATAGTTATAATGCTGGTTAGGCAGATTGTTCAACAAACTTGGATATTTTTTTGAATCAGGTATGTATATATTCAGGGATTTGAGCCCGCTCCAACAATCCGTGTTTATATGGTAGTTGATGGATGGTAATGCATGGAGCAACCCCGAATGATAGATTATGCTTTTTTCTGTGTGGGGTATTAATCTATCGAAAATACTTTTCAAATGTTATATTTGTGAACGTGGAATTCTAATTCTCTCCTCCTATAGAGATTAGGAACGTGTTCTCAAGTTTAAGAATTCTAATTCTTTCGTTTCCGCGCGCGTACTTTGACATTGAACATGATCGTCAAAAGACAAGAAGAAGGGAAAATTGAGAAGGAAAGTGGCAGCGTGCTTCTAAAAAGAGAAATTTGTTTAAAAAAAAAAAGAAGAAAAAACATAGAGTATAAGCGAGGCAATAAATCAAAAAAATAAAATCAGTGATACGCCTTATGCATACGTATAGGATTATAAAGATGAACATGCATTACAGATAAAAAAGATACACATGATTGTCTAAACCTTTTCATTTGGACACTCATCTGATTGAACTTCGCTATTTTCAAAAAAAAAAAATTAATATTTGAAACTCATGTTAAACATTAGATTAATTCCAAAATTATGAAATTGTCAAAAAAATTAATAACCTACCGTACAATATGATACAGAAAATGGTTAAAGTACAAGCTTACTATGAGGGTAATATACAATAAATCACATGATTATATTTTTTTTTTATAGGTTTTTCTAGTAAGTGCTCTATGAGAATTCGTAGCATAAGTAAATCACATCTAACTTATTTTCAAGATTCAATTCACATCTACTTATGTATAATGTTTCTCTTTGTATTTAAACACTTACTAGATATGGCAAACACTCAAAACCTATTTTAGCTCATGTTGATTGGGCATCCATGGAAAATGGCTAAGTTTAAGAGCAAATGTGAATGTGTCTATTTAAATATTGAATTAGATGCAAATTAGAAGTATTAACAAGTGGAAATTAGGTATTCGTTAAACAATTATTTATCAAATAATATGCATAGTTTATTTATACTTTGAGCAAATTATCCGGATGGCCACTAAACTTTTAGAATTGTTAAATTTTGGTCACTGAACTATCTAAAGTTTAAATTTCGGACCTTCAGTAGATTTGATCATTAACTATGCCAAATCTGAGTGCCCGTACGATTCACGAGACAAAAGAAAGAGACATAGTTAATAATTAAATCTAACAGAATGATCCAAAATTTAAACTTTAAATTGTTCAGTGGTCAAAACCAGACTTTTAATAGTTCAGTGGTTAAAATTTGATGATTCCAAAAGTTTAGTGGTCATCCTAATAATTTGCTTTTATACTTTTCCAATTTGGAAGTACCCTTGCTTACAGTTCCATAACCAAGAGCCACCCTCCAAATAATAGAAAGAATAGTAGGAATAGTAGTAGTATGTTGACAACTTTTTCCCTTTTTTTTGGGGGCCCGGGGGGGGGGGGTTGGGGTGAGGGGGTTTGTTTCCGAGAAAAACGCTCAGCTGTCAAGAAAGAAATGAAAATGTTCATAACAATTGATTTAGTTTTAGGCAATGCTTAAATAATTAAGAAAAAAAAGCAATCCAACTTGATAGGGTAGTGTCGGTAGAAGCGTAGAATTAGGAGAGAGGGCATTAGTAGAAGACACAGAGAATGAAACTCATTCCCTCTCCCAATTTGTAATTGAGGAAATTGGACGGGAGACAAACGTAGATATATTCATATACACAGTTTCAGTGTCCGTGTTAGTGCGAATTTAGACAACAAAACCGACGAAAATACAAGAAGTTGACAATGACATGACATGGCATCATGTGGAACCGGTACTTAGTAGTAGTTTTATATGCTGGGACTTTCCAACTTTTAACAAAATATGCATCAGGAATGGATCAAAGTATGCATCAGGAATGGAATGAGGTTGATGAGCAGAGCAGAAATTCGATGCTTCCTGAGGTGTAATAATAGTATGTGGATGCAGTGAAGTATTTTGCGTTGGACGGTGTCCTCTGCCACCCAAGGATTTTGTGTTTTCAGTCAAAACCTAAATTAACAGCAGCAATCAGAGTTTCTGACTGGGTGGTGGTGGCCGGTGGGGTGCCTATATTGGGCAGTGGAAGACAACCATCTATGATCCCAGGAAGGCACGGCATGTAACATGGAATCATGGATAAGAGGAAGGAAACTGGCTGAAGACTGCTGCTGTGTCCAGAGCTCACATGATCGATCAACTGGTAACTTTGACAATATATATGTTAATAATGTCGGGGATATTATATAAGTTTTGACGGCAGGTCGCAAATAGCACTGCAACTTGAAATTGATGAGCAGAAGAACAAGAAAAAGTGAAAAGAGGCCCAGCCAAGGAACAACGGACAAATTCAGCAGCTGCAGGATCCTCCTTCCTCACCAGTAGAACTACGACTCTTTTGACATGTGCTACTACTTGACATGGGCCAAAAATGCGGTGGGGTTTCTTAACAAATAACAAGGCAAAGCAGGTAGGCCACGGTTACAAATGCAAGCCATACCTACATCCTTCTTTTTGAGCTTTTGGATTCGGCTAGCCCGTTTACCACACTGCATCCTGATTGACTTCCCCTCCTCCTCCTCCTCCTCCTTCCCCCCCCCCCCCCCCCCCCCCCCCGCACAACACCAAAAAAAAAAAAAAAAATCTTCAGGAGAATGCCAAAAAAAAAGAAAAGAAAAAAGAATAGTACAATTTACATTTGGCTTCCAAATGAGAATCAATTCCTTCCATGCTGAACGCCGTAGTTCTATCTATGTCTCTGCATCATCCTAAAGTCATAACTTATAGCTTAGAGGAAGAAGAAAAATTTAGTGCTGCGAGGCCTTGGCCACCACCTCGACTAACAAATACCCTGTTTCTCAAAGCTGGCTATCCCATATCATTTTTGGTCTCGACATGGTGGAGCTGCACATCTAGTCATATTGTGGTTGACACATTATTCAGCCGCTTGATGTGATAGCAATCCGAAATTACGTCTAAGGGCCGATATGGCTATCAATCACCCTGATTTTCCGAAATCCGTACTAATACTTTGGACTATAAACGCCTCCCATTTTCACAATCAAAAGTAACAAATTCTTATCTGCCTCCTATCTCATCTAGACTCCCAAACAAAAGTCATTTTGAGAGAATCTCGAGGCTGGACCTGGTGCCTTCTATTTCCCCTTGTGGTCGCAGGCAAGAAGCTCGACGGGGACAACTCTCGGCTCTGTCATCTTGCCCGCACAAGCACTATTTAGGTAACTTTTCCAGCACCTGCAGCGAATTTGGAGCATAATTAATAATGTCAATCAGAACCTATTATTGATTTGTAAAACCACAGATTACTATTGATTTGTAAACACGTTAAAAAGCTAAAAGTACGTAAACCCAAAAAAAAAAAAAATTTTTTTATAGGATTTTGTGTACGTATTGACTTTAGCAAACAGGTGACCATGGGAGAGGGGCAGGAACTAGTGCGGCACACGTCCTACAAGGAAAGGAAAGAGACACAAAAGCCCAAATGCATTTCTATTTTCTCCCCCTGATTTGCCTGTAAGTTTCAACCCTGCTTTCACGTGACACTGACCCATGATATGCTACTGGTATTTCACTAGTATTACAGCCCAGCCAGCAGCCAGCTGCTTCCCATTTCGCTTTCTTCTATTCTTTTCCCCCTCTTTTCCTCCACAGCTAGTCTTTTGCTCCCACCACCAGTCCACCCCTCCGCCACCATCAGCAGTCCCACTCTCACGCCCACTCCCCGCCACCCAAGTTCTCTTCCCTTTCCTCAGCTCCAATGGATCGAAGTTTCAAACTCCGGTCCCCGTTGTCAAACCACAAATACACCATCCAATCAGATGAAAACGAAACACTACTACTCGTAGTCCAATAACCAGTCCCACTCCTCTTCTCCAGCAACAAGAACAACAGCAACAGCAACAGCATGCATACTCTAATAAAACAATGTGGGAATCTTCTCCTCCGTTGTTTTTTACTCTTTACTAGTAGTGCTACTTTATTCTCTGCCACTACCATTTCTATTTCCACGACGCCCTCTCCATCCTTGGTCCTACTCCCTTCCGACGCCGTTTCTCTGCTCTCATTCAAGTCTAAAGCTGACCTGGACAACCACCTTCTCTACGCTATTCACGAACGTTTTGACTACTGTTCGTGGCAAGGAGTTAAATGCGGACAAGGCCGAGTCGTCCGTTATGTCCTCCAAGGTTTTGGCCTCCGCGGCCAGTTTCCCCCCGACACTCTGACTCACCTCGATCAGCTCCGAGTCTTGAGTCTCAAGAACAACTCGCTCACCGGTCCGGTTCCTGACCTTTCTCCCCTCCTCAACCTCAAGTCCCTATTCCTGGACCACAACTCCTTCTCCGCTACTTTTCCTCCTTCTCTCCTCTCTCTTCACCGCCTCCTTATCCTCGACCTCTCTCACAACAACTTCACCGGTCCAATCCCCAGTGATTTGGCCGTTCTGGACCGCCTCAACTATCTTCGGCTCGATTCCAACCGGTTCAACGGCTCAATCCCTCCATTGAACCAGACCGCGCTAGCAATCTTCAACGTCTCCAATAACAACCTAACCGGACCAGTTCCCGTCACTCTCACTCTCAAAAAATTCACCATTTCTTCATTCTTATGGAACCCTGGTCTCTGTGGAGATGTCATCAACAGACCATGCCGCGCTACTCCCTTCTTCGACGCTGCTCCGGTAGCCGGCGACGCCGCTGCCCCGCCTGCACCGCTCCTCCAGAGCTCGCAGTCCCAGGGAGAAGTGCTGATCCCTTCTCCGTCGCAGAAAAAAAGGCACAAAAGAGTTGGCGTGATCCTAGGGGTTATAATAGGAGTATTTATCGTGATTGCAGCAGTTTTATGCATTTTCGCTTACTTCAAAAGGCCAAAGGAGGAAGAACAAGCTGATGCAAAGAAAAGAGCATTGTCACCGGAGATGGGTTGTAACAATGCGGAGATATCTACGCAAATTGGAAATGCCGAGGATGGAATTGTGAAAGAGAAGAAAATATATCAAGTACATGAAACTAACAGTCATGGTATCAAGCAGGTGAAGAGTGGGAATTTGGTGTTTTGTAATGGAGAGGCGGAGTTGTACACGCTGGAGCTGCTAATGAGGGCGTCAGCTGAGTTGCTGGGGAGGGGAACCATTGGAACTACGTATAAAGCTGTGTTGGATAACCAGTTAATTGTATCGGTGAAGAGACTGGATGCTTGCAAGACTGCTATTACTACTGCGGAGGCCTTTGAGCAGCATATGGATGCCGTTGGTGTGCTTCGGCATCCCAATTTGGTTCCAGTCAGGGCTTATTTTCAAGCTAAACAAGAAAGGCTGATTGTCTTTGATTATCAGCCCAATGGCAGTCTCTTCAATCTCATTCATGGTAAGCTTCCCTCCCCTCCCCCCCCCCCCCCCCCCCAATTTTTTTAAAATTTTATTGTTATACTTAAATTGTACTCCTACTACTACTAGTATTTGTTTTTGTTGTCTTGGCTTTTAGTGCCAAGCGTTTAAGCTGTAGCTGTGGGGTGAGTCGTGTTGGGGGGTTTTTGCGATGACAAGTTGTCGGCTGCCAGAGCTTTTTATGGTTGTAGGTTTTTGTTCGATTGGTTAGTGTTGCAGAGACGTGAGAACTGAGAACCCCTTCTGAGCGGAGCTAGGTTCCCACCGCCGTATTGCCGATCATCTCGGTGGTTCCCACTTTTAGTCAACACTGGTCTATGGCTAACAGGTCACCAACAAATAACAATATGGTTTGCTTTTGGCAGTTTCCTGTTCCCAGTTTGGCATCTGTCTGTTAGTGTAAGTAGGTTTGGTTAAATTAATATTCAGTCCTCTGCTCACCGATGACCTCTAACGAGTCAATTGCTTGGCTTATTCCATTTCCACCAATTGGGCTTGGCCCGCTTGGGGAATTAGTGAATATGGAGAGTCGAGAATGCGAGCTTTGGTACATAATGATGGGGACAATAATTGAGACGTTTATTATGGTTGTTATCGCGGAGGCCTTAAAGTTTATGTACGTTGGGTCAGATTTGTGGCTGTCATTTAATGATGGACTTAGTACTCGCAGCACATTCATCTAGAAGTATTTTATTTTCTTCAGTTATCTGTAGTTTTTAATGAGCTAGTTCCGTTAAACATTTCCCCTTCGGACTACCCTTAGGCACAGGAAGAATTGAACTTGTAGGTACTGTGTAGTAGTAGCAGCATCACTCCATCAACAATGACGTGATAGGTCAAACTTCTCGTTCAAAAATGGTGGTGGCAGCTGGAAACTCATACTAGTAGCTAGACTAGCATCCGTGCCCGGGATGCTCAAGTTGGGGAACTATGCACTTGCTAAACTCAAATTAGATGTGTTCTATGTACTTCTGGTATTGCAGACCAAGGACGGTATTAGATGTCTCGGGGAACCATGCATGCTACACAGTGGTCACTTACTGGTATCTCATAGCTGAATTACGAGAGTAGTGAATAACGGGGTGTCTATCAGTTTAGAATTGCTTTCCCTGCTTTTCTGTTTGGCACCGCTGATGGCAAACTGCTTGCTCTACTATTAATTGTCTTGCTTCTGTACTGAGATTATATCCTCTCTCATATTGTCTGTATCTGATGTTTTTCACAAGTTTGATGAGCTGTTTTCTCCGTTGTTAGAAGTAGATGCTACATTTTCCCATTGAATTGATGCATGTGTTCTCTCTTTGATGTCCTTTTCCCATTAACACATTGATGCAAATGAAGCTAGATAATGACTCTTTCATGGGTACAGAAAAGAACAGTGTCCATGGCCAATATAAATCTGAGAATGCATTGCACGTTCCTTACTTTAGAAAGGCAAAAGTAATTGTCTTCGATTTATTCTTATTTACTTTGCCATATCTCGTTGGTAAGGTTCAAGATCAACAAGGGCTAAACCTCTTCACTGGACATCGTGCGTGAAGATTGCAGAGGATGTGGCTCAGGGCCTTGCTTACATCCATCAAGCATCAAAGCTCATTCATGGCAACCTGAAATCCTCCAATGTCCTTCTTGGTTCTGATTTTGAGGCCTGTCTAACCGACTACTCCGTGTCCATCCTTGCTGATAGTTCTTTAATTGATGATCCAGAATCTGCAGGATACAAAGCACCTGAGATATGCAAGTCTGTTCGTCGAGCCTCTTCAAAATCTGATGTATATGCCTTTGGCATCCTCTTATTAGAGCTTCTGACTGGTAAACCTCCATCTCAGCATCCGTTCCTTGCTGCCCCTGATGTGCCGAATTGGGTCAGAGCAATGAGGGATGACGATTCTGAGGAAGAAAAATGGGTTGGAATGCTAGTTGAGATTGCTAGTTTGTGTAGTGTGACTTCACCCGAACAGAGGCCAACGATCCGGCAAACACTGAAGATGATACAAAATATAAAAGACACTGCAATGGTAGACAACAGCGCAAGGGATTCATACAATGGATATTCATAGTTTCTAATTACATCTACAAAGCATGGATATTGGATGGAGCATAAATTTTAATGGATTTCGTACTGAAAGCCACGCTGGAATGGGATTAGCATTTGTGGAATAAGCACGCTTCCCTCGTGGGATTTGAAGCGATTGGCGTGTGAGTATGTTCATTCACTTTGTTAGGAGGACGGGCTTAGATGATTAAAATAAAAATAAAAATGGTGCATTTGATGTCCACTAACCTGTATCTGATGAAGTTGTGAACTTCAGGAGCGCCAGTTCTTGTAAATGATTAGGTAAAAGTTAAATTGAGCTGAGATTAACCTATCCTGAACGCGGTTCTTGAATCATTTTGTGTTAGTAGCATGTTGTGCGAGTTGAAGATAGTATGGTATCTTGATAGGGTTTCTGGCGAGAAATTGGGAGAAATGCATTTTGTTTTGTCATATCTTTCCAGACCTATCAAAACAATTTCTTAAACGCCATGTTTGATCTTCAAAGCAGCTTTGTACGTTCGGTTTAGAGATGACTAACTGTATGTTGGAAACAAACACATGAAACTTCTGCTGAAGGGGAAAAGAAACTTCTTCCATCACCACTCCGAGTTGTCTTTTTAATTTAATTTTTGGTGTATATTAAGATAGATCGAGCTGGCTTCACAAGATTTCTTTGAAGAATTCTCATAAATTTCCGGTTACCAGATGTCCGGAACAGGGTATGAAGCTGATTTGAAGGATTAAAAGAGCTACCCATCTCTGTTCTTTTCTCTACTGAAACTGAAAGGGGGAAAAGAACTCTACATTCCTGAAGGCTTTTTATCTCATTTTGGAGCAAAAAACAAGAAGGCTCATTTTCACATTTGTCTCAAAAAGATAAAGTGGCTGACACCTCCTCAAGCTTATGGCCAAACTAAGCTATTAAACCCATAGATGGAACATATCTGATTAGTGATCATAATCCTATATAGCATATGTTAGGTACAAATTAATTGTTTGAAATCTGAGTTTTAACTTGATGAACTTTAGTCTCGTCAAATTATCAGCTTAGCTTAGGGCCTTGGGCCAATCGACGTACGTCGAACGCTGTCATTGACCAAATGCCTCTTGTGAATAAATTATACAAAGTGTGGACTATGGAAAGAAGCTCATGGAATATTTTTCAAAACATGTATAATTTTTTTTTTTTAAAAAAAAGGAATAATTTCACATAACTCCACTGAGGTTTTTGATAATCGCAGAAAGCTCTCCTCAATTTTTAAAAATTACACATACCTCCCCTATTTTCATTGTTTAAGCAACATTTTAGGTCTAAAACGCTAGACTTTTTCTCAAAAATCCTATAATGCCCTTGATTTATAATTAATAGCAAAAATAAAAGGAAAAAATAGTTCATAGTTTATATTTCATTCATCCTTACTTGCTATCACTATTACCTATCCATCAACATCCAAATCACCATTAAATAAATATTTATCTTTGTTTTAATGTTCATCTTTTACCTAAAGATTTTTGATGCAAATCATTATATCAATTATAAACACTACATCAGATATCCAAAAAATTACTTACAGTTTCATATCAATATTAGATTTTGCATAATACACAACAATATACATCGATAACTCTAAATTTTAATTTCATGGCTATCACTTTTTTAATACAAAATAATTTAAGGCATCACTACTATTATGAATGTCCAATATACTCCATTGGCACAAAGTTCAAAATCAATCAAATTTTCTCTATATGAATAACATTAATAATTGTAAATAAAAAATAGAAACACAATGCAGTTATAAATATATTGAGAACATTTTTTTTCATAACAACCATAATAGTATAATCTATATTTAGTTCCTATTACACTTCCTATCCTTAATTTTTATTTTTTTATCACTGCTACTGTTTTTATCTCCATCTAGTTTAATAATGAAATTATCACTCAATTTGTCATTTGACAATTTTAATTTGCTAATGCCTATCAAAAATTGAAAACAAATATGGGGGTAAGAAAACTATTTAATAATAATGATGAAAAAGGGAGAATTGGGAATAGACACCAAAATAAGTAAGCATTGGTAGTTTTGGTGTCTATGGTGGTTTTATTATTGGCGATAGTACACATTTGGTTGATAAGAATAAATACATGAGTTTGGAAGGAAATCAGATGTAAAAGGAAGAGGATAGAAAGTTAAATGAGAAAAGCGTAGTTTGAATTATTGATTGACAATAATTGAGAGAACTTTAATATTTAGTAGAGTTTTTTTAATGAGTTGACAATTAATGAAGGTATTATTGTCTTTTTATCATGTCAAAGGAGGTCATTGTAATTATGTAAATCTCAAGGGAATCGAGTGAAATTATCAAAAATTTCAAGGCAAGTTTTTGAAATTATCCCTAAAAAAAAAAAGGAAAACTCAACTTCAACTTAAAGTATGATTGAATTGGAATTTGTATAGTATGAAAAGTAAGGATTGGTACGAAATGTAAGAGGTCGTTGAATTGCAAGTTTGAAGAGTTCGGGACAAAAAAATAGTACTGTTGCATTGTATTTGTTCAGAACGTTATATATATAAAATAAAAAAGTGATAAAAAATGTGTAAAACGAGGTTTGGGAGAGGCGTCCTACAAAAAATTTACTCATTCTTTCTCCATTTCGTGGGGGCCACAAAAAATATATATTTTTTTGGTAGAGCCACAGCCACCTACGGACCGGTTGGCAGTTGGCACGCATTTTCCACGTGAGGACATGAATGGCGTGGAATTCACGCTATAGGCTGGGAATAAAAGAATCCATTTGACTTCCTATCTCCTAAAATCCCAATATTCTAACCTATCAAAAATCCATTATTAGACTAATCATAGTTATTAATTAATTTTTTAAAGCCCAATTGTTGGTTGGTCGATTGTGATCAGTACAGTCAAGTTGATGATCTTTAAAATAAAAATGATAAGAGAAAAAAAAAATAAAGCATTAATTAGATCGGTACTCCAAATACACGATCGCATACAGCCCACGGGCACTCTCAGTCCCCAGGCCTCCTTCTCTCCCTCTCTAGTCGTCTCGTCGTCTACGGTAGCCGTGAAATCCGAAGGCTACTCATTTTCTCTTCTTTTTTGGTAAAACAGAAATCTTTTCGGAGGTTTCAATTGGCAAAATTGCGCTGAAATGTCGGGAGGTATAGCGCGTGGACGTCTCACCGAGGAACGCAAAGCCTGGCGTAAAAATCACCCCCATGTTTGATCATGCTCTCTCTGTTTGAGTCCTTTTTTTTGCCTCCTCCCTGTTATCCTTATACGCAGCATAATATGAAAATTTACTATTTATATTAGCGATAAATTCACGTCTTGAATTGTTTTTTGCTCAACAGAATAATTAGAGCTCTAATTATGTTTATTTTTACTGGTTTAGGGTTTCGTGGCCAAGCCGGAGACACTTCCAGATGGTTCCGTTAATTTGATGGTTTGGCACTGCACCATTCCTGGTAAGCCTGGGGTAAGTTTCTTAACCTAGAATCACTTTTTATTTTGTAACTTAAATTTCGTATTCTTTTTGTAATACTGGACAAGAGTTAAAACTAATGACTAGTGCTGTGGCGAAGAGTTGTTGCTCTTTTTTTTTTGGCTGGTTTAATCTCTCTCTCTCTCTCTCTCTCTCTCTCTCTGTGCTTTAGCACAACTTTGTTGTGTATTATTGCCTGTACCTTCTTCTATTGTTTTATAAGCTTCTTTGATGAAATTTTAATGTCTTTGGTGTCTAAGCATTGTTATGGTCTTATGGGTAATTTGGCTACGAAGATTAAAATGGGGCGAGTTTTTACTTTGCAGTCGATCTTAACTTAGGCGTTGGTCCACCAAAATGACACTTCTAGCTAGGAAAAAATGAATGGATGATAATTCTGAAGATCTAGCTTGAACTTAGTGATGTCTGTAGCTATATTGCTGGAATTTAGGATTCTTACCATGCGTTTTACTTGAAGCACACTATCATCGGCAATTAACTAAAAAAGAGTCCATTCTGTTTTCTCTAATGAAGCAAGTTTATTGGGAAATTATATGATCAATAAAACAAGCAGTGCAACACTTCTTTGTTTCCCATCGTTATAGATGAAATATCTTTCTTCAGAATGGAAATAAACCTTAACTCTGGTTTGTCTCCTTTGTAATAGCTACTTAAAAATTTCTGAGTAGAGGTGAAAGGGCACTATTGAACCATTAGTTGCTCTCCTTCTCTATGTAGTAATAACTTTTCTATCTAATCCTCCTTCGAAAGGTATGTTCAGACATGGCAGTTACTAGAAGTGATGGAAACTGGTTTTTAAATTCCTTTCGATCGCATTATCAAGGCTTATTGGATGTCACTGAATCAGTGTTTACTGGATCAATTCAGTGCAAGTTTATAATGGTTAATATGTTATATGTTAGCTGCTTTACTGTTTCAACCCGTGAAGCTACTTTATCTCAAATGATCATGATTCTTATTGCAAATTGAGTATCATAAATCTTGTATTACCAATATTGGCTGCAGACTGACTGGGAAGGTGGTTCTTATCCACTTACGCTTCACTTCAGTGAAGACTATCCGAGTAAACCACCAAAGTGTAAATTCCCTCAAGGTTTCTTTCACCCTAATGTCTATCCTTCTGGGACCGTTTGCCTCTCAATCCTCAATGAAGATAGTGTATGTACCATTCTGCTTGGCATATTAATCAAATCTTTTACACGTGACTTTTGGCTCCATTATAAGTTGATGCATGCTTTTTGTCATCTCCAGGGTTGGAGACCAGCCATTACAGTGAAGCAAATCCTAGTAGGTATCCAGGACTTGTTGGATCAACCGAATCCTGCTGATCCTGCACAAACTGATGGTTACCACCTATTTATACAGGTGACTTGTCTTCTCTGGAAGCTGAATTTGCAAGTTTTTCTCTCTTTTAGGATCTTCTTCTGTTAACTGGATACCTTTCACCAAAGAACATCAAAGTATAGCGGTGCTCCATTGGTATTGACATTGTTGTAGGATATTCGCTTTATTGAGAAAAGTAACATTTTGAAACTGCATGGTTCATCTCTTCTTTTGATGTCGCAGGTAATTTAACATATTAAAAAAAGAATCATTCATAGCCACTCCATATTTTCCATGAATTTGTTTGGCCAGGCTCAATATTTTAGTTAGAGTTGCAGATAAGTCATGATCAAATAAGATGGCTGAAATATGTCAGCCACTGTGTTGCTTTATCTTCAATTTATTAATTACAGATGTGCTGAAGTGGATTCAAGGGTATGTGTTGCGGAGCTAGTTTTTGCTAAATTTTGCAGCCATTGGTTGCATTTTACGTCTAATCAGATGGTGACCTAACTTACAGTTCTTTGAAATTATATAGTCATTTGATTTAATGTATTCTGGTGGGAGCATAGCTGCTTTGAAAAGGTAAAGATACAAATGCTGAATATAATAAGATGCCACCTGTATTTGCAGGATG